TATTAAACACTTGTATATCCTTGCCATAAATAGCAATTTTAGTTGAGCACTAGCTCATAAGACGTTGTTAAATAGGTACCGGTACGGTGCGGTAACTCCAAGGAAGGCTAGACCTAGAATAATATGTCACAAACAACGATATTTTCTGGCTTGCATGAAATGTTTATGATTAATTTAATGACTCTTCTTGACTATTCAGCAGACTTATACTACTATATAGGCCACAGCATATTTGGAAATAGAAATGAATGGCTGTTTCTGTAATGCACGGTTGTGTGAAAGAGAAGAAATTAATCAATTTTACTAATGTCGGTTGGTCTAAATCTAAATTCATAGAGTCGACAAGAACCTGGGAAGCAATGATAAGTTATGCCGGAGTGGAAAGAAAGGTAGCATTGGAAATGATTGAGAGGTGAGAAATGAAGTTGTAGACAAACAGTTGATGTTTCAAAATATAGTCTATAGTCCATACTCATACTGTCATAGGACATTTCAGACTGTGATATATCAAAATTTAGTGTAGATATAGCCTAGTAATGGTATGCAAACACTGCTGGACTGTAGAACATGCAATGAGCATATATACGCTCATTTAGTACATCAGATAAAATGCATTATGTATTCAAGGTATTAGTTAGTATTTAGGGGTATTTTTAAAATCATGCTGCTCCAAATATTATTTTCTTCCTTATTTTAGATACCGGTACTGTACTACAAAAGAAAACGGCAATGTTCCACCAATCCGACCTAACGCAGGCTCTGATCCCTGCTGCTATCAGTGCTATGAAATGGATTAAACAAGAAGTCTTGAAGCTTAAAGGTATATGAGAATCATAATAGTTGCAAACAGCTTAGATGGGCTATTCATATTGAAATACTTTAGCACTTTCCTGCAATTGGAACTGCCCATCAAATTCATGTTGGAGACTTCATTGAGATTTTCAATTCATTTTTTTCCCTCGACTATGAAGATCTTTTGAGGTTAACGAGGTATTAATAAATAAAGCTGAGGAATTTGAAGAGGATATGAAAAATGTAAATGATACCAGGGCACGTCTATTTAACACTGTCAAACATAAGGATTATACTCTCCACCCAACAATGATTCACTGAAGAAGCATGTGGCCCTCAAATCAGTCCTTGAGTTGGCAAACTGCAAAGAAAAATAGTCAAAATAATTTATGAAAGTGTGCCAAAATCAACTTAAATTGCACAGATTTTTGTTTTTGTATTGACTGCAGAAATCACAGTACACCTATAGAGGAAAAGTCGATTTTTGAGATAGTGGATTTCGAAAACAATTCAGAAGAAAGTGAATTAGATATTACAGTTGATTTAATAAGTATCATACATTTGTTTGTTTTTTCGGAAATTTGTTAGTGTCGTAGTCCTGTTTCTAGAAATATTATTGCCTTTGTTCAAATACATAACCACATAAACTAAAAAAAGATTAATTGTAAATTGTAATATTTCTGTTCACTATGTTATGTACATATTGTACATTCATTTGATTTTCTTGACTTTTGCGGTAAATTTCTAAGTGAGAAATAACTGATTTATTTGTGTTTTCGTGCTCACGATGTTAATTTGTGACTTCATTGCTTAAAAATAAATACGTTTGATACTTGATAGCTTCTATAAAATGGATGTAGCTTTTTATGCTGTTCTTGTTGTAAACTGCTTGTGGTTATTACATAAAATTTATTCTCAAATGTGAATCAGCGTTGTTGGTGTCGCTGCTTTCGAGGTCACTCCCAACTCCTGTCACACAATTAAAGCATTTTTTGTTGTTGGTTACATGTATGCCATATTTTTCGTAATCTACCTAATAAATTATGATTGACTGAGGAAGTCCGATTTTGGTCAGGCAAAACATTACAGGAATACATTTGTGTTAGTGTGCTGTAGGGCTCTCGAATTGTATAGTTCTTATGTATGCGTTGTAAACTTATGGTTATTGAATTTCCGGGAACCTCTTATATTCAATTTCGCACCAGGATTGTGGAACAAGCTGTAATGCGTTCATTATGTTCGTTTTCACACAAAACTGAAGAATTTATTTAGTTACCGGATGTGCGCTACGAAACTCATTTTCTGGGCGTTTTCATGGTTTCGTCTCACGGCCCATATCCGTGGTAAGGATCTACAAGTGTTTAATAATTTACTTATACATTTTTCAACAACGTCTTAGCATAACTTAACTAATAATACCTAAACAGGGCTATGGAAAGCCTGCCCAACTCAGCGCAAGGTCGAGCAGAAATAACTAATATTCATCCGCTCGCTAACAGCTGGTTTAATTCAATTGTTACGTCATGCAGAAGTCATTGTTCAGTGCCGAAAATGTAGAGAATATAGGACAGATCGTAGCACATATTTCTTGTAGTAAAAGCGTCTTTTCCGTAAAACGTGCAACTTTTGGAAGTGGGAACAAGGCAATATTTGTTACTAAATTTTTAAGGAACATTTTAAAATCATTTTCAGGTAGTTACCTGATGTGCGCTACGAAACTCACTTTCTAGGCGTTTTTCAGGGCCTCGGCTCGCGGCCTATTACCGTGAAAGGAATTGAATCATCTGCACACACATTTCATATACATGCGGGGCCGGACAAATAAAATCTTTGAAATACATATTATGGAGAGTCGCAAAATATTTTTGGATGTTTACATCATTCCACTCTCTTTCTGAGCAAGTGAACGCGTGAAATGATGAAGATATTCCTTGATCATAAAGGGGCATTACTGAAAGCTGCAATTCCGTTCAAAGTTGTATCTGGACTCGGGAAAAATCCCCAAACCATACGAAGTTCTGAAAAATAAAATGTGATAGGTAGAAATTTAGGAAAATTATCAATTACTGCAGTCTTACTCATTATTTCCCACTAGGATGCAAATATATATATATGGTGAGAATTTATGTTGCTGAAAACTACGGCATTTAGGTATATGAGAATTTGTTAGGTTGGCTTCAAATTTTAAAATTATCAAAAGTATTTGAATTTACACAAGAAATATTTTAGGATCGTCTATTTCCAAAACGCCCGTGATTCGTAGTGTCTATCAGAAAGTTTACCTATTCATCTGTTGCCATGTTCGGTTGAGACGACTCTAAAACCTGAGTCGATTGACGTGATTTCGGAAAATCTGACACACGTCAGTATAGAGGATGTAAAGTCGTCTGTTTTAAGTCCAGTATTCCAGGAAGTTTCTGATAACTTGGAAAAAAAAGAGGAAAATACTTATTAGAGTAATGACTTCTTGAAATTACTGCACACTTCGCACAGAAGGATATTGCAAGAAAGTTAACAATTAGGCTACATTTGAATAGTTTTACTTCTGTTTTTTTTACCTTTCCTACGTCCAATTCTTCTCCGACTGGAAGTTTACATTCCTCACTTAATACCGACAATGCAAATGACAAGTGCAATGCAATTGAGATTAACGGTAGCCCTTTCCATGTAACCAGCAACAATGTACAGTGGCCTGTTTGATATCTCTATGAAGTTTCTCTTTCGTTTATCTGTAGTTCAGATGATATAACTTGGTTTTTACTCGGGTTATAGGTGTATATTGCAATCCAAAATATTATTAAACTTAATTTTGCCCTTATTTGCGCTTACGTTTCAAGGCTGTTAATCGTCTTGCGTACACGACCTATTTCACATTGCACTAATCGCCGACGATTAACCACAAAATTACCCTTTCAAGACTTGCCGAAAGGGCAAATAAATAGAGGTTTAGAACAACTGCTCTAAACGTATGCAAGCGTAAAACTCAACGGCTAAAATTCCTCCCTTTGGCGGGATGCTTTTCCGGTTGGAAAGCCCCTAATATCAAATTTTATCAAGTATGTGTTGGTTTATTATTTTACAAGAAACTTCGCGGTCGGGGCAGGAAATTTTTGTAGCTGTGGCAGCTGTGAAGGCCCTCGTGTTCATCTTCAAATATCAATTTTCAATTGTTAATCTGGAAATTTAAAGTCTATAAAAAGCAAACTTTCCATGAAATGACTAACATAAAGGTACAGGCTTTTTATTACCGTATTTTCTAGTACCGCCCAGACCGATTTTGACTCCCGATATCTTCTGGTCGAGAGCCATCCCAATAATCCACCCAAATAATCCGGTCTTGAAAATCGTTTAGCAGCCTGAAAATGGGATGCTCATTAAATAGTAGTAATAGTGCACTCAGGGATAGGTATGGAAAATTTAATTTATGGGATAAGGGTATAATAAAATAATAGATAGTATTTTAATTGATTTGAATTATTAAAAAGAAAACGCATTGAAGCTTGATATCCTTTCTGTTGTAAGACCTCCTAACTTTAATTTTAATTCAGCATATATTGTGAAAGGGGTCGCGATATGTTAGAAATATCTAAAAGAGGTCGTGACGCAAAAAAAGTTTGGGAGCTGCTGCTCTACTAGAGGAACAATCCTAATTTCGTCATTTCGTCTCATCATCTCCAAAGATTTGAGCCGGAATCTTTTTGTCATGCTCGCCGAAATGTATGTATGATTGCGCAATTCACATGTCCAAATCTCTAATACGTCAATGTGTGGAGTTTTGCTATCATACTTGGGAATGTGCTTCTGTGGCCTCGATAAACATGTTAAAGAGATCAAAAACTAGCCCCCAAATATCGTTCGCATTGCAAAATCAATCTCGCGGCTCGAGACTATCGACAAAATGTTGCGTCGCTGTTCTTGTATTTCAGATAATATATATATATGATGTGTTCTTATGAACTTTCGCATGGTATTAATTAAAAAACTTTTGCAGTAGTGAGAAGGGAATTAAAGAATAGCTGCTGTTAATGATAACTATATAAAATTCCATTGATCATCATGTGTCTTTCTAATCTTCAGGAAACTAGCGTTTCTAGTTTAGTGCGGCAGATAGATATTGCACTCCGTGAAGGCGGTAATAGAACTGCTCGCCCTATTATTTTAATACATAACAGATAAGTATGGTTTAGTTTAATGAACAAATATTTGCCTTGTCTGTCGTACGAAGAAGTTTATCTTTATACGCTGGCTGAAATTCATAAAAACAAATATTGGTCAAAATGTTTCGAATGTACAGATGATGTGAAAAGGTTTGTTGCCGAATTCAAGTTAAATTGAAAAAAATCTTACTCTTGTATTTGCTTACAGTCGATATATCGATACATTTTAGCTCATTCGGGCATTTATCGATACATTTTAGCTCCTTCGGGCATTTCATCATGTTGTTCAAGTTGTTCATGTTTAAAGTGTGAACATAGGAGTAAATATAGGGCAAAACTTATATCTGGTACGCAAAAATAAAATGAAAACCAACAAAAAAGTCGAACACATGAATGAACACCCTATAAATTTGTTTTACTTTGCTTTTGTTTTTATTTTAGGTGCTCTATTCTGCGCTCTGAAATATTCACACTGAGACTCGCACATATTGTACAGTTATTTCCTATAAAATGTTGCATAATGTTAATTGAATACGATAATAGTTTCATATCCGATCATTTTTTCCTTATTTCTATTATTCCTAATTTTTTTTATTTGCTCCAACAAGTGGTCATATGGAAAATTGACAATATAACAAATATGCTAGATAGCAATTGTGGCAGTGTTTTTATTTTATTCCGATTACATTTAGAGTTTGATATAAGACCTGAACATCTTATTCACTTCCCGTATATCACAATATAACATAATTCTATTGACAGAGAAAGTTCATCGTTTATAGCAATAAATTTGTCTTTCAAACTCTTGATTATTACTAAATTATTATTTTTTTAAACTAAATATACAGGGTCGCTTGATTAATCGCTCCAATTCACCTCTGAACAATCTGAGACGTGGAATTTAGCAGATATTCCTTGATCATGAAGAGCATTGTAAAATGCTGCAATTTGTTTCAAAGTTGGAGTTGGACTTGGGAAATATCCCCAAACGATATGAAGATCTGAAAAGTAGATACAATTTTGTAAAATTATAATTTAGATGAAAGTTGTAGGACTCCTTCCTGGCCGAAAATACACATAATAAAACTTATATTATTCTAAGTATAAAACCAGCTTTTTTGCATGCTATGTAGTCTCGATATGAACTATTTTCTTGCAACTTTAGTTTTAATTTCATCTGGTTGATTGTGCATTTATTTTCCCCAGATTTGCTTTGGGAACGTAATTTGAGTTCAGAAGTTCCAAAATTATGCATTAGGTATTAACATTGTTTTAGGCAAGTTGCTAAATAAAGGATAGGGTAATGGAAAAGAAGGACACACTTTTTTAATAAAAAAAGATGGAAATCCAAACATAACTAAATATAATTAAAAAGTTGTCGTTTTAATCGATTTACACCTTACCCGTATCGCAGAATTTCATTGTTGGACATAAAAACACGGCAAAATAATTTGTGTAGTCAGTCAGAAACAACCAATTCGCAATAAAAAAATAGTCGTCTGCTAAAAAAATAGAGGTGTAAATTATCATTTTGCCAGTAAAACATGAACACCATTACGTGAGCCCAAAACATTTGGGAGTCGAATGTTTGACTCTTCATTGTATCACGTTACTAAAATTTTTCACTAATAAAAGAAACAGGAATATTCAAAATTGAAGTTTATAATATTTCAAAATTTATCATTTCCGATACATTGAACAAAAGCCCGGGGAGGCCGGTGGATATGTGATCTGCAATACCGGTCACATTGTGCGAGTAGTTCTGAAAGCTGATTACACTCTGATGTGTAAAAATGCCATAGTTAAAACAATTTTCCGGATATCTCGAATGTAGAAAGCAAACCTGGTCGTCTGGTCATTTTTCTCATCGTTATGCGATACGTCAAGACGTTTGAAATTCGACATAAAAATATTCTTCATGGTCAATTTCGACGATATCAGCCATAGCCAAATTTTATGTTCGCAAGTTTTTGGTATTTATTGTACACAGCGAATGCTGCACACATTTGACACAAATTTAAGAAAACTTGGTCAATATTTATCTTACCCATTGCTCTTATTGCTGCGTTATAATTTCCGTTCATTTCACGTGCATGGGCGGCATAAAGTTCGGCTCCTGAGAAATTGTGACAATTAAATTGAAAATATATAAAATAAAATAAAAATCTGTATGTCATATAACAACATAAATATATATATGACAAATCTTACAAAACAATAATCCATGTCTATAAGAAAAACTCTACTAAGGCGGAAGCATAGTATTTGAAAAATCTAGTCATACCGTCTTCTTTCCTGCTCATGTGATAATTTCTGTTCTTATTCCAGTTCATATGGACAACAAACTCCACGTCTCTATAAAGATGATGACGGTCGGGAATTAGGTATTTGTTTCAAAAAAGTGTTATAAAACAAATTGTTTTGCATCAGTTTTTTCTATACCTGTTTTGTTCAAAATTGCTGTTTTCTTTTGTGTTAAATAGGTCAAAACACGAAAAATGGATGTAGCCTAAATAGAATGGCTAACGGCGGTTATCGGTACTGTAGCGAAATATTTACTAAATGCCGGGTAGAAGAAAGTTCGATATATATTGTAAATCTACCGGATACGATAATAATATAAAACGTCAAAAATCACTGCAGAAGTGTGTTGGGCTAGTACACGGGTCGGCAACTTTTACCATTGAAAGAGCCGTTTGGCATTCTTTTAATCAAACTCAAACCTACTCGGAGTCGCAACATCTACTCTAATGTAGGGTTGCCATACGCCAGATTTTCCCCTGACATGTCCGGGATTTTACTGGTCAAATTTGCGTATGGGAGAAATGTTAAAAAATGCTTAAATGTCAGGGATTTTCGAATACAGAAAATTCCTGCTACAAATCCTTGAGTTTTTAGATATTGCGCATCCACGAAATCCTATTTTTCAGGGATATGTCATATGCAAGCTTTTTTGTGCAACATGGATTGCGTCGCATTTAGTTAATTGTGATGTCACATATGACCTGAATTGCCAGCTTTTTGTAATCTGTATTTTGGTTGCACTACATGTAACTTACTTTATTCCGTGCTAGGGTTTAGTCACTCGTGCAAAAGATTAGGCAATGATTTTGCTTCTACGAGAAAGCGACGAGAGCTTGCGCATTTGGATACATCGTGAATTTATATCTTAATATAAGTGTTTTAGTTGCAAAATTGGTCAACGTGGCTCATTAAAATTTTGTCAAGGATTTTGTCTTTCCAGATATGGTAACCTTGATCCAATGTCAGTGGCTATTTAACACTCCCGTAAAAAATCATTCAAGATGTAGTAATATAGTTCTTAGAAGAGCCAAATGAAATACGAATAATGCAACAGTTCAATCTATGACGAAATCAGAATAATTTGTAAAATGAAAAGAAAAACTGTGTTTTGACAGAAATGAATCCCTTTAAATGCGACATATTTTTACCGCTCTCGACTTATATCTTGTGAACCGCGGTGATGTGTAATTAGTGAGGTGTATTTGGCTTTTCTTTCTGGCCTCTGTTTTCATTGAATCTCTACTACTTCTAACAAAAAGCTGCTGTAACCACTTTGATTCACGGAGGCCAGAGCTCCGCGAACAAAGAGCCACAGATTGCCGATTGCTGGACTAGTAGATCGCAAAGTCAATTTTTGGACACAAAATTGACATACAGATCGTTTTGTTATTAGCTTGTTGGTGTTAGAATGTTTTTCTCAATTACTACTAGACCAATTGATTAATTTGAAATTGAAGATTGTGTTTTTCAAAAGGAGGCTATCACTTTTATTTATTTCAAAAATCTGCTGTAGGGGATTTGTTTTTTGTGTGTGCTATGACGCCATCAAAAGTACAAATTGTGCACCTTGTGCCGGTTACGAGTTCGCGTTAGCTGATGGTCAGGCGGTACCGGTGGTCTACTGTGACAGATTGCATATCCGTACTATTTCGTTTTGGCTTTCGTGTCCATGTATTTGAGCATCGCACTCACTCTTTTTATCTGTTTTGTTTAAAATGGCTGAATTATCTATTACATATCTATGCGAAAACGAGAAAAATAGATGTAAAGGCTTGCCTAATTTATTCCTAATGTCAATATGCCCTTCCACGGGTATCATTGACTTGCCCATACACGCCCTCTCAATCTGTGGCGCAATGCGTCCAGAAACGTATAGTAGTTGGCGGACAAAGCCGTTACCGACAAGCTATTACGTGAACCACACTGAAAAGGCGGGAAGTCAAGCAATCCTCTTGCATATTGTCACATCTCACGTGGGATTCGAACCTAAGTAGATGTCTAGCGTAGGTTGCCGCAGAGTCAAGTGTATTATCCGTTATAATATTAACACACTGGTTTTACCAGATTTGGCAGGTAGGGGAGCGTCCGATCCCCCTGTTTTTGGGTTATGTTTAGTATGCCCGCTAGCTATATTTCGTGATATTTCTTAACTTGTTTACTCGAGACGTCTCTCTTGTATCCCGAATAACTGTTGACATGATATGAATTTGGTGCAGGTAGCCTACTAACTTGACGATGGTGGAAGTCGAAGAAATTGTTTAGACTCAAAACAAGGGTTTTTTTTTCAGTTTTTTTTAATGAAGTCCTTGAATAGTAACTGGTGCGAAACTTAATTCATATATGCATTAGGTTTCGTGGATCGAAGTCTTTTTATTTCATACTCATTTGTGGCTGAGGTATCGTAACTCTCATTATACTACCTATTCACCAACAATTAATAGCAAATTTTCTCAATGGGGCAACTAGTCAGACATTCGCACTGAATCTCTGATGTTTTGAGAAGTGGATCGGAGATCCATAATCTAACCTGTAATTGTGTTCTTTTACGACAAAACTGAAACCGGAATCAGTGGACGTGAAGTTGTTTAATCTGTCACAAGTGAGTATGTTTGATGCAATATCTTTCGTCTGAAGTCCGACATACCAGGAAGAGTTTGATAGCTGTAAAGGAAGAACAAATAAACTAATGTTTTTAAGCGGATCACATTTGCGTTCCAGATATTTTAGCCTATATAATGATGTATGTAACAAAATAAAAGCTCGAAACTTAGCATCCATCATTAAAATACCATCCCAGCAACTGTTATCATAATAATAGTTATGAATGTTATTTGCAACCGTGCCCGTCGAAATTGCTGTCGAACTGTTTTTCCCTATAATCGTTTTTTTTTTTGTTCCAACCAGAAAGCAAATTGCTATGCTCAGCTGCGATCATGAGAAAAGAACGAAACAATTTAGATTTGGTTTTTTACCTTGTCAACGTCAAGTTCTCTATTATGTGGAAGCTGGCAATTCTCGAATGGAGCCGAGAGTATTACATATGATGATGACATTAGAATTAATAAAGTCAATGCAATCATTGTTGCCGTCAATGGAGTATAAACCTTCGTCTTCGTTGAAAAAAAAACTCTGACACTATAAAACATACGAAGGAAGCATTTTATGCTTCACCTCTATTTCTTCCTTGACTGAATTCATGGTATCGATTTATCAATACTTTATCGATACGTTGTTGTTCCATTGCGTAATTTCCCGTTTTTCAGCTCTTTGCAGAGCGAAATCGTTTTTATTTCATTTTATCACAGTGGGGTAACAATTGATTGCCCTGGATATTTCAAAAACTTTTGATAGAGTTTGATATGCCGAACTCCTGCGCAAAATTCGAACCTAGGGTTCATCTATAGTCAAATTTTTCAAATCATTTCTGTGTGATCGCAAAGTCAATGTTGTTCTAAATCTAGATCAACGATACATACCCTTTATCTATTGGAGTTCTTCAAGGTTCAGTACTACATTTAAATCCTGTCACATTAACGAATTTCACTGTAGGTATAGGCTACCGGACCCGTGATTAGTCATTAGGCCTTCGTTTACATACATTTTAGCATTGTTCAACTGTTTAAATACAGTCGTTCGTTTTGACTAAATGTTTGGCAAATTTGTAGCCACAGAAGCCTGTGTGACAACAAAATTCTTTCACGTGACTTTTCTGAAAACATTATCAATAATAAAAGAAATATGAACAACGTGATGTCTATGTCAAAATATAAACAGTGTTTGCACGCAAACCCCACATATAGAAACGAAACAAGCAAAGGCAGAGAAACCTTAAAACTATTAACTTTTAAGCTTACTTTAGTTGAAGTCCTAAAATGGCATTCTACAAATTGAATTTATTCGATATTCTGTATGCACTGCCTCTGCGGGAATACTAAGCAGATCTAGCGTTAATTTTTTACCTGTTTATTTCTCCAGCAAACATTTTTGTGATGCTGATTAATTAAAGCATATAGAAGATTGCCCGATATACCTAGGTCTGATAGTACTTTCTTCGAACAACCAAGATTTTTACATATGACAAACAAATTTCACAAAAGTATAACTTGAAGATAGATCGTTTCTTTTTTCGAGTTATAGATAACCTGTTTATCCAGCAATTGGGTTAGCATTGTAAACCGCAATTCGCGTCGGTCTTTGCAAAATTAGCAATCCGACGACCCGACGAGCGATGCTCAAATATATGAACACGAAATCTGAAAGAAAGTTAATTAATCTCCGAGTTTTACGCAGCGTCGCGTCAAATCGGAACAGCTGTCACGTTTGGCGGATTGAAAACCGTGTTTCCATGGAAAATAAAAATATTGCAAAATTTTGGATGAAAGATCAGATCACATAGCATTCATTTCAAAGCAATTGGTTCATAATAGTGAATGAGAAAAGTGATATTCTCATAACAACAAGAAAAAAATACTAACAAGAACAACAACAACATAATAGCAAAACAATCCATAAGTACATTTCGTTTGCAATGAGGATTTAATTATTCATGATTATTTATCCAAATGGTTATTTATACTTTAATAATATATGCCGGTATTTAATGTGTATATATTAACTTTTAAGGTGACATCAAACTATTTTGTTCTAACAATAATACATTAACGATGTGGAGTCTGTAGTGTCAATATAGTAGAAAGAAAAGATGGATGGTAAAATAAATACCGTACGTACTATGGAAGCCACAAGATGGCAATATAGATTAGATAAATAATGTTTCTGAAAATCGAATAAGTGCGTTGACTCTGCCGAACTATGTGGACGATAGATAACACTTTGAGTATGTATTAATATCAAAAAATACGGTATTCTATAGCTGTTCTAAGTTCAACCTATGTTATTATATTTAACACGTTTCACCTGAGTATTGGGCTCAGAACAGTAAGATGCTTATTTGGTTAAACAACATTGATTGTTCTAGAAATTGTTCCACTTTTTTCATTTTATGAAAATCGTTAGCAATATACCAGGAAATAAATTTATTTGAAGATAATCAACTTCTTCATTTTTATTTTTTCAGCTGAATCCCGCCAGATCGAAATATGAAAACTTGATCTAAGACTGAAGACTCAAAACAAGCCAATTGACATCTATCGTTTTGAAAAATTGTGTTACAACCTTTTTTTATAAAATGTTTTTGTTCTCATCTTAACAAAAGTCCGAGCCATGCCAAAATCTAACCCCCAACGAGCTCAGTCGACTTCTCTATAATTCATTTATTGCTTATTCATAGAATTAGGAAACGCATTCAATTTTAATAATTTATAATCTGTTGTTTCAGAAACATTTAATGTTCCGATGAATCTCATTGGTTACAAGGTATTTCCAATTTGATAAGATGACATACGCTTATACTAAATACCAATGATTTTGATTAGAATATAATTGTATTTTAATAGTGTCAGACATCTTAAATACTTTTCAGGTAACGTGAGATATGTGTTATAAGCTTTCTAAATCATAAATTTTATAGCACCGTGAAATTGCGGTAAGTTTTTGTTAAAACAGCTCTGAGTGATGAGGTGATACTGGGTGGTCATTTGTCCTATTATTACAAATATAACCCATTGTCATTGTTAATAATTGTTGTTTGGTTTTGCGCATACGGCCTTGTTTGTAACAGTGTTACCTCAATCTCCATCGTTTCGTTTAATATATATATATGAGATAAAATAAATAAACTTTTTCGTCCCATACCGTCGCTGTGATTTAGTATTGTGTACTTAGCTATCATCAATCTATGGGATGTTAAAATTCAAAAGTAAACATTATTCTAGTTATACCGAGTTGGAAAATTCTTCCGAATTTGTACCATTTAGCATGATGCATTGAAGAAACACGACAGTGAAGTGTGGTCCATCCTTATTTCATGTTCGATAATGATCAAATTTATCACTCCTAATGATATTATTTGACCAGTGTCATCTCGTATATATATTTTTTCTGGTCGCATCACCCAATCGATTAGAAAATTCCTCGTTTGAAATAAAACTTCACCCAACTTTGGCCGGATTCCGATTTATAATTTTTTTTTGCAAATAATCATGTCAAAACTATGCCTTGCTCTATAATCAAAACCAGTATCTCGCCCAACAGTCCATATTTCAAAAACGAAACATTGATGTTTTAATCTTTGCTGGTCAGTTGGACTAAAATCTCCTTTATTCAAGCATGATCACTGTGCTTTAATCCAATAATGGTCACTGGTGGTGCGCAGAGATACTCAAACAAATTTCCAGATTTACCTTCGGTTTGGTCATTAGCCAAATATGAGGTAACCTAAACGAAAATTATTTTCAGTTTTTTGTCTTAACTCTATGTTTAATTTAAATAAATGTATTTAGTTAATCCGTAAATTAAGAGCACAAAATTGAATTCTCTCATCGCTTGTCAAAAAAATTTCATTGACAAGTCGACAAAAAATAATGCATTAAATTTTGAATTCCAATTTAGGTTACAATATCCATTTTGCGGCTTCGAAAAGTTTTAACGAAGCAGCAATTGTTTTTTTTTTCATTTATTTTAAACTTTCACTGACAAAAAGAGCATAGCACTGTTGTTCTTAAATGCGGCTCGATGCTAATTAATTTTGTTCAAATTCGAAACAAAATAATTTATATTTTCTCGAAATTAGACTTGGATTCTCCACAAAATCGATAACAATTTGAACTTGTCGTTTTTAACATATAAACAAAATTTTATATGGCCAATCATAAATTATACATACAATTAAACTTATTTCCTGATTCAGTATCCTTCTCATGTGTGTCCGTGCAACAATATCACCATTATAAGTAAAATTATTATTATTATTATTTTTTTAAATAAAATTGACCTCAAACCCCAATTGAATAAATTCAATGTCAGAAGTCCGTTGAGATTTGTCGAAATAACAAGGATAATTGTTGCCTATAATGATGAATTATAAACAAGCGCAACTTTATAATTTTTTGAATATTAGTGGAAGACCAAACTCAATTTTTTTTCTTGGCTATCACAGCAGAAAATATTTGGTCAAATATGATGATCGACTGTCACTAAAGTCTGTGCCTTCAGTGTAACGATACAGGTACAGTGGTTTATGTACCCAAATAAGCGGAGAGCGTTTTATGTTTTGAATGTCTAATATTTTAAAACAATTATCAAGACAAATAATAGAGGGCGCTTTCTACCTCCTTGGGGTAGTATACCATAAACTTGTTTACCACAAGAGTGTTGGTGTCTACGACTATGCTCCCGAGTAAGTTTGTTGAATCACTATTTCACAGTAAGTGAAAATAACCCATTGTCACAGAGTTTTCTAGAATTTCTATTTTTAAAATATACAGAAATTGCAGAAAAATATAATTTTCTTAATAACTCTCAGACAATTCTTCAGAATAAAGAGGTAAATCATGCTATAATATTGAAAATAAGTTTTCTTTATTTAACTGAGGTTATCATAAGCAATTTGGTCTATAACCAAAGCGTTTTTTTTTAAATTATGATTGAAAGATTAAGAATAATTCCAAATTTTCGAAGATATTTCTCTGTAAAATGAGGTCATTTATCATTCATGAGTCTTAATGATTACACACACCTATATAGAACAAACAAATCTTAATCAAACAGCATTTTCTTATTTTTATTTATTCCATCTTCGAATCATACTCGACAAAAGCTTTGAAATTGGGATTACTGAATGGGTATTTTGATAAAGTAATTAAAGGACATTAATCTAATACAAAGTTTGTTTTCCGTCAGATAAAGTTTCGTTACCATTCAAATAAATGCAGGTTATCAGTTAGAATTTTTTTTTACCAAAGTGTAAGAAATATTAAGATTGTTTCTTGGAGAGATATGGAGTTAAACGAGACTAGCTATTTATCTACTAGAAATTTCTCACTATTTGAGGACTCCGAGGTTTCCAGCAATTCAATTTTACTATGCCCGGGTATATTATTTTTTCTCGTGATTGGGTGAATTATTCACGCTAATATTTCATTAAACTTATAACTGTTATATTCTGCTATATTTTTATAATGTTTATTAATGTAAACTTGATTACTCTGAAACCTATTAAAATATACTCAATATAAGAAGTTTAAATGGATGACTCAGAAGTAATAGAAAATTTACAACCATTTCGTATTATTTACGGTTATTTACTATATTGTATGCATTTTACAGGATAACGACAGGCCGTAGATATATCGAGACTAACGAGCAACATGCTGGGTGAATTTTTCTCATAACCGACTGTCAATCATAATAGTATGTGACGTCGCCTGTCGACAAATTGTCGTCGTCAGAAAATGCCACAAACGTCATATCTAATAAATTTAGTTGATATGCACAACTCCTCACCAGAAACGAGTCTGTGGTGTTGTAAATCTTATGTGCGATCCATAAATGATCGAGTATTTCAACGATTTCAAGTTTTTACTATAATGGCCTTTTGACAAAAGCGCGGGAAAATGAAGTCACCTGACACTCACCCACGTGAACTGGACTGATAATGATGTGGATTTGATATTTAAAATAAACACTATTAACAATAAGGTATCGAGGACAGAAAAAGATTTATAGCACTGCTAACAAAACCTCGTAAACTAAATACATTTACCACGATAATTGATTGTTGTATATGGGCCGTGGATAAATTGAGCTTATTCACTGAATCGAATGCGTTATTTTAAACTAATCTATATTTCATTATCTATCTGCTGAAAATTTTTAGCAGTGTTTTGTCTATATATACAGAAGCAGTAGTTGTTACAGATTGCTATAGATAGATACATATGAGTATTTATTTTAGATTGAACACATTTAGATAACATTGTCAAAAGCTTCAATGAATATTGAAGCCGGTGTACTTGATAGCATAACATAGTTAATCAGAAAATATGGGGTGAAATTATAACAATTAATGTAATTTACAAAACCCCAAATGCGGCAATCCTATACACTGCAACCTGATGCATATCAGCTCAAACGCGAATTTTCTTATGTATACAAATAATAATAATTTCTGGTGTGGAAATTAACATAAATCTGAGCTCAATTTTGTGTGTAATAATCCCTGTCCTTGTTTTCAATAAAAATATATTATGCCTTGTTTTTAACGTAACAAGATTGTCTTATTATGAGCCCATGTCGTGACCACACGATCGATATTGGGGAAGGTATTATAGTAGGTATAAGCTAAAATGGATTACGTCATGATGTAGTATTAAAATTTGAAAAGGGATAACTTGCATTTATATTGCTTCATCATGCAGGTACTTCGTTTGAAATGTATGAATTATATGAAGTTTGGTGTGGGCATTCTTCTATCTTGCCTCATTAATTGTATATAAATGCATATTTCTGATTTCAGAGCAATCTTATTAAAAGTTAGAGCTACCGCGCATTGAAAGGAGTCTCATTTCTTTTTCACCCAGACTACTAAGGAACAAGACAGTCTGTTTAACTCCTAGATATGAAATATCATAATCATGGGTTACTTGCTCTTCAGTTCCAAGCTAATATACCATTTGGAAGAAAAATAGTTAGAATTGGTTGACATGAATCATGTTGCGACGTTGGCTAGGCAAAAGGTAACAAGACATTAGACACCTGAATGTGCCAGTTTTTTACTCACTACATGGACTTGCCATTATTAGGTTACCACATTCGTGTTAGGAAGTGGTAAAAATCGATCTTGCTCGGCTTCAAAAATTATTCTTGCGACGGAATATTCAGTGGAGGTTTCGGGACTTAACTTCCGTATGAAGAACCGTATTTGTGGTTCAGGGACCGGTCTACTTTCAATGTTAACAATGTATTGAAGTAAATGTTTGAAACGAATGTTATACGCGTTTGTAACTTAATGGCGGACAATTTATTCGTCATATTATGCGTTTTATGATATTTAGAAATGCACATAAGCTTGTGAAGAATTTTACTTTGCAAAGCATGGGTAGATTAGACACTGCTAATTCACAGTTGATACCTGTCTCCCGATTTCTGTAGTCCGAACGTATAATTATTATACTGGCATGTCAAAATATCGTGAAAGTGTGCCGTGTCAGAATTATGAAGAAAGCAAACATTTGGAAATATTCATTCTTTATTAATATACAGTATCACATGGATAGGAGTATATAAAATTATCCTCACATTTAATGCCATTTTTCTCCACTCGTAGAAAAAGACATCCAAATACCCACTTGATTTAAACCTTGTAATAGGAATAAAGCTTTGACAATGTAGTTGACTTGTTTTGTACCGTAAACCTGTATTCGTTAAAAGTATAGTATTACTATGGTTGTTATATATCATATCAGATTCTTCAGAAAATTTTTGAAAATTTTAGATGTTTAATTCAAGTGAGTGTATCGGAATATATTTGTTTTTGAATTTTTTAATAAAAAATGAAACAAAATGTTGAATGCAATTATGTAAGCAGGTATGCACACACCATTGGCGCTACTGGCAAGCGTAGATTTTCGTTGGTAAAACATTAAAATAAAAGGAATGTTGCTACATTGTTATTCTGTGTGAATATTCCTTTCGAATTCATAAAATTATTATAAAAGTTTGTCACGTTTTATTATTAAACCACAATACCGAGTTCACCAGAACTGGAGACATCAAACCATACTTACTCGCTAGATTAGCAGCGCCGAGGTCTATGATTTAACAATGGTACATACTTGAGGCAATGCTCAATTCCCGGTTCCATAAACAGACGGAAAATAAATCGGCGCCCAATAGCGTAGGGAAAAAATGTAGACAATCGAGTCGAAGAGATTAATGACATTCGTTCACCATCAATGTACGATGGCGGTGGTCGTCGTTTCAACAAGTTAAGATTTAAAATCTAGCGTAAAGGTAGTTGCGGAGTCTTACCTATAGCATTTTTATGAAACATGAAAGTTGATAGTTTGCAATGATATCCAGGATTAAATACGACTCTGTCAGAGCAGTTATTTTTATCTATCGATATGGTTTCAATTTGATGTGAAAGCTTATGTAGGCTTTGGTAAGGATGGCTTAGATTGAGACAAAACCCAAAAAAAACGTGCAAAATACCGCACAAAAATATCTGCTGAAATGCATCAATTTTAATTTTGTGGGTCAGTGATTAGCTATATATTCCAGTTCACAGTTTTCCTTCATCTTTTTTTACATGTTTTTGTAGTTGATTTAATATTTTTCTGTTACTTTATTTTTTCTTCGTTGTGGTATATTTTCTGAGATGATCCTCTCCCCAAATAGAAATAAACGGTTTACCGCTATCCCATCGATCATCAGAAGCGACTACCATTAAGGTGATGAAAACCTATTCAAGATCGTAAGTGCATATTGATATCGAACTGCAGTAATATTAAAGCAAAACCATTTGTTGCTTGAATAACTTTACCAATAGTTTTTCGATAATCAAATATTCATTTATAAAGGAGAGCAGAAGGTTTCTAACGGTAAAAATCGAGGCTTAGTTCAACAAAAGTTACTAATGGAATATGCAATTAGCCTAATAGATTTTTTTTTTTTGAGAACGCGATTAAAAATTCACGTTGACCCAGGCTGCGTCCAATAATTTGTATTGTTGGATGAGCATCGGATAGCGTTGTAGCGACAGTGCCGCTATCGATTTATATCTGAGCAATTTGCCGCAAGAGAAAGTTCGATTTTCGGCAGGTAGACATCGGCATCGTCGGTGTTTCTCGGATAAATTGTGTACTTATAATATCTAAGAATGATATATGTAATACTAACATATATTGAAATGAATATGGACAATAGCGTGTAATATATATATATAATTTAAATTTGCTGAAATTGATAAACATTTTGCAAAAATTTGGAAATTTTTTCTACAGTTTAGAACTGAGTTATACTTAAAGACGTGAATACATCTGATGAACTCCAGGTTTTTAAGTACAGTACTCGATTTTTACAAGTTTTACGCCACCAATCTTTTCTCGTGGAGTTAGTTTTGTAAAATCTAATCTTATTTGTCATCAATGGAACAATAACATTTTGACTCGGCGAGTGTTTAGCAAAGACCTAACTATGCTATCAGCAATTTGCATAACTTTACTTGTGTGCTGTGTCTCATTTGGAAGTTGTCAAAAATACCCACACGATCCTTTGGATTATACGGATACATCTGGACCGGGGCCAGGACCAAGATATCCATTTTCAAACGGTCCAGTACCCCCGGAAAGAACAAGACAATTTATCATGTCCTGTCCTAGAGGTTTGCAGCTTTCATTTTACATGTACTCATGTCAGACGTTTAGAGAGATAACACATTTATTTTTCCCAAATAATGCCCTGAATATCAAATCACTAGATACTCGTGTTTAGAAATTGAATATGGCTTTGCTATTAGAGATTTGATCGGCACTCTTTTCATTCTGAGCCTGAAATCAACGATAACTAAGAAAGATTATATTTGCCTAAATCGCATACAAGCTCATTCCTGCAATTATCCTTACGAGTATTTTTATTATGAGGTAATCATCACGGAAACGGGCCCTTGTTTTCTGTTTAAATTTATGACGGTTCCGTACAAAACCCGATATTTGATACCATGCAATATGAATAAACTACAAGTTTTTTGCGAATGAAGAATGTGTTGATCTAAAAATTGAAAATATATTTTAGGTTGCCATTGTGACGAAACTATATGCGGGCTCACAATAGACTGCTCGGATAGAGGATTATCAGATGTACCCAGAGATCTCAGTCCACTCACAGAATGCCTGTAAGTCGTTTGTTTTCTCCATATTACGTTCTTCTCTCTTTTTAAAACAAAAACATGTATAGAACGACACTTAGTCATAAATTATTCTCAGTAAATAGTCGATAATGTAAACCACTAATAACAACAGTCATTGTACCAAAGTATATAATTTGAGTTCCATTAGAGCAAAAATGCGGGAGACGCTGCCTAATATATGTATAATGACACATGGTTTGGTTGCGACTCATGTATCCAATGCTTGATCGCAAATCAATTTTGAGGAAAAGTGAGATTTTAGATGAATATTTTATGTTGGGATGGGATATTTCCGTGGATGGCTGTGATCGGCTAATATGATAATACCACGTTATGTGGCAAATGTTTCCAACATATGAAGTATAATTCTGCAGAATGAAATTTCAGGTTTTGTTCTTATGCCGGTAATTTTCTATGGCCAATGTGTTATATGCCTGTATGATAAGAGTTTTATTGCAAAACGCTTTGTATTATTAGGTCTGCCTAAGTACGATGTTGTTCGTGAAAATATAACAATTGTAAATCTCTAACCCTTAAATTATCGAAACTTAGCTTATTGTTTAATTGCCCAAGCGTAATATAATCTACCATCGCTTAAACCTAGGAAAAACGTCAGCCTAGTCGGTGCTGACAAGCTTAAGTGCCGGTCATTAGGTAAATTGAATCTGGTTTAATAACACATGGTCTCTATTTTGGCCAATTTAGCGGGAAAATTAGACTCAAAGTACGCGTTTCTGAAGAAAATTGACCAGGGAGAGACATAAGCGATGTGCACATCGCGACGACTTAATTGCCGCCTCTGGAGAATTGTGTCCAATTTTGAGTCAATTTTTGGAATTTTAAATATTCAACTCGAGATATGAATGTTGTAGTTCATATTCATTTTTTTTTTATCCTGGAGAGACCTTTTTCATTCAAAAAACATGCTATCTATTAGTATATACACTGCCTTGTTTTACATTTCTCAAATTCTGTAATATTATAATTCAAACCTCACACATGTACACCTACACAAGTACATGCGCACATGTGCATAAACGGCGTCTTAAATTAATAACTAATATGGCGTGTTTATATTTCCAAAACTATTTTATAAAATTTATATTAGCCCTGCTGTAATTAACGGATTTATTAGTATTCGAATAATTCCAACCAAAACATAAAATACCATACCGATTTGTTTTTGAATTTTAGTCAGAAACAGTGTCGGTCGCCATGTGTAATTTTATATAGAACTCCGGAGAAGTGTTAAAAATTTCGACAAAATTGAAATGTCATACGTATTGGTTTGTTTTTTAGACTGTACCTTGAATTCTTTCATCGTACGCATTTTATTGAAAAAAAAAATCGAATTCAAATGAATCTAAATATAGATAAAATGAAATAAAACCGAAATCTAAAATTTTTTGTCTTATATTTCGATTAAAGTTTCAACAGACGGTCGGTAATTCCGTTGAGAGAGAAGCATAAGTTATTTGACAGAAATTCGATAACAGAATGACACGACACGAACAATTTAGATGAAATAAATTAACGTTACGAATAATATATTAGAAAACCGATAATCCGGAATAAAACAATTATAACTTCTCATTTTTTCAAAAATTTGCTCGGCTAGTGAAAAAATCATTTTTTTATGGTGAACAATAAATAATCGAGTGATTATGAAATAAACAATTACTATTCTATTCTGTACGGGCTGTACGTCGACCACTGCTGGAAACCGATGACGAAACTTTATTATTATTTATGATAGTATTACGCTTTGAGCTTCATTAATTAACGCGTTTATAGCAAGCTCAAATATTGAAAAGAAACCAAAATGCAAACTCAAATTAAAAAACCGAGTTTTTACTAGCTTCATAATGAACGATTGATCGTGGATCATCTATCTCCCAGGCTTGATAAACAATACATTAATTACAAAATCCCAAAACGTAAAATATTTTGCCTCGATTTATATTTTTTAATTCTGTTTCAAGCATAGTTAAACGACGTATGTTTCTAATTATTTTAAACCAAATCTTCAAAATCGTTGAAAATTTGATTTCTGTGTGTGAGTAGTAGACCTGCCGTTTCTGCAAAATGCCGATGATGTACAATGTCGTTAACGAGTGGTATTAAATGGTCGTTACTCTTTTACGGTTCCCATCTGGTGCGTGAATGTTTATTTAAACCATTTGCTGTTTTTCCAAAAAATCTCAAATGTTCGAGTTGTCGAGTGCGACTAAATCCGGCGGTATGTGGATGATATACTTTTAGCATAGTGTTGGGAATTTTGTAAAATTAACTGTGGTAATGCAGTACGTTCACCAATCAGCTACGGTTGAAACAAGATTCAAAACTCAGTTGAACAAGTAAGAATGCATCAAAGCAGAAATGCAAACGTAAATACCATATTCAACACTTTTGAGGGTAATCTGTCTTTATTATACGTCTGTGCACACAAAACGTTTTTGCAAATTTATAAAATTTTCAACGTCAATTTGCTGGGAGTTGCCTCAAAGTAAAATTCCGATTTAAAGTTTCCTCATTTATGTTATTTCGTTTGTTTTGTGTCTTTTAAATTGGATTACAAGGCCATTTAAATCGTTTTTTTTTCTTATTTTTGTGGCTAAAATCCACCCATCGAATAAATAAATAATAGGTCGGTTTGTCTTGAAAAATAAACTCCAAAAGGCTCAAATAGAGAGCTTGAATACACTCTTTGTGAATACGAAAATCGACCTGAAAAACACGCTAGGTAATTCATTTTAAAAGTCTATTGTTTCGGGTGTGTGTAAGCACATGACGTAATTCGGGGGAATCGTTCGCAAATAAAAATATCAGGATCCGATGATTGGAAAATGTGGTCGTGTAAATGCCTTACTGAAAGAGGACAGGGTAGGTTTACACCAAAATAACGCAAAGTAAAAAATTTCCGTATGATCAGTAAATAAAACTTTTCATATATTCCGGTACGTGAAAAACGCATATACATGAATGTTTTTTTTGCACTTCGTCAATTAATCGTGGATTCAAAAAAAATAGTAAACACTTTATTTTAGACGTGGATCTTTTAAAACAACTTATTGCAAAAAAAATTCTATTCCCATGTTTATTGTAATGACATAAAACTTTTCATTTGGTATCATTATTATGGACAAATGACATTCCACACAAAACGTTTTTGCAAATTTATAAAATTTTCAACGTCAATTTGCTGGGAGTTGCCTCAAAGTAAAATTCCGATTTAAAGTTTCCTCATTTATGTTATTTCGTTTGTTTTGTGTCTTTTAAATTGGATTACAAGGCCATTTAAATCGTTTTTTTTTCTTATTTTTGTGGCTAAAATCCACCCATCGAATAAATAAATAATAGGTCGGTTTGTCTTGAAAAATAAACTCCAAAAGGCTCAAATAGAGAGCTTGAATACACTCTTTGTGAATACGAAAATCGACCTGAAAAACACGCTAGGTAATTCATTTTAAAAGTCTATTGTTTCGGGTGTGTGTAAGCACATGACGTAATTCGGGGGAATCGTTCGCAAATAAAAATATCAGGATCCGATGATTGGAAAATGTGGTCGTGTAAATGCCTTACTGAAAGAGGACAGGGTAGGTTTACACCAAAATAACGCAAAGTAAAAAATTTCCGTATGATCAGTAAATAAAACTTTTCATATATTCCGGTACGTGAAAAACGCATATACATGAATGTTTTTTTTGCACTTCGTCAATTAATCGTGGATTCAAAAAAAATAGTAAACACTTTATTTTAGACGTGGATCTTTTAAAACAACTTATTGCAAAAAAAATTCTATTCCCATGTTTATTGTAATGACATAAAACTTTTCATTTGGTATCATTATTATGGACAAATGACATTCCTATAAATTCAACAATAAACAAAATGTCAGTATTAACACTGAATGGGGTCGCCTCACATGACTGATGAACCATAATCTATAAACAAACTGCACAATAACAAAATCATCCAGTTTTACTGCACTTAGCCAGTTATCATAATATTGTGATTTCAATTTTCTCAACAAAATGTGATAGAATGAATTCATCGCCTTGAACTCCGGATTGTCTTTTTAAAACACTGTTAAATGCTAGTAAATGTATTTTAGCTTTCTTACTGTAAATCAATTACATTTAAATTTGAATCGTTTATGGATGAATGCAATAAATCGTTCCATAAATCCAGAGAAATAATCAGCGAGGAAAATTTTAAAAATTTTTGTCGTTTGCTTAACGTTTCCTATCACTTGATATTCCAATATTTCAAAATATGTTAACGGAATTATCTCAAACAAACCGAGTTAACTTTATATATTGATATTTGATTCCCTCAGTAGTAACATATATATAGCACCATGATGTAAAGTTTGACAGGTCACCTCAGAAACCACTTCAATACAAATTGCTGTGGCGCCTGCCTTATCGTTCTAAACTCCTAGAGCTTAGTTTTCGCACCCACTTTGACTTTTCAAGGTTAGACAGCAAAGAGAGCTCATTCAAATTAAGAAAATTGGCCACGACTGTTGTCCCATGAAATATAGAGGTTGACAGGGCAACCGTTTCAATCGTACATTGTCATTTTTGTTTAGATTCTATTTTATTTGCGGTTGTAATTTATCATTGAATCGTGTCGCGGAGAAATTGAAATGTTTTTTGCCACTCATTCCTTTTTGTGATATGTTATTTTACAAATGAAAATACCTTGTGACGATTAGTAGCCTTCGGGTAGCTTGAGTTAAAGTTGAGACATATCTCGTTAACACTCTACAGATGAAGCTTTTGTTCCGTCCCTATTTTCCACAGTTCCACTCTTTCGTTCTTCATAACTTACTATGCTACGCAGGCTTCCCTAATTTTGCGGTAACTACAGAAGCATGTTGCCCTCACGTGACCTTTTAGGAGCAGGCCGGGACTCTTGGGATTTGTGAAGAAAATGCAAAAAGATTAATATATTTGTTTTACAACGACGGAAAACCACCG